GTGTGTGTGTGTGTGTGTGTGTGTCAGCCGCTCCTGCATAGCTGGTCAGAAACCGAAAGATTTCTCCTTGTGCTGTGGACTCCTCCGATAGAGATCTTTGTCCAGCATTGGTGGAAATAAGTTATCAATTGTCTCTTCTCAAATAACGTTTCAGTGGCTCGCGTCCACACAAATTACGTGATTCAGGCAGGACATGATAGTTAAATATCATAGTTTTTACAATTCTTAAGGTTATAAAAGGCATGTAAAAGTGTTAAAGGTGACAATAAAAGTATATCTTCTTCTTCTTCTATAATATCGTGACGTTTTGACATCGCGGTTATCGTAAAATCGGTTAATCGCGACATCCCTACTGGTGAAGGATGTCAAAACTAGTAGTTGTATCTACAGCATCAGCTATTTTCAATGGAAGCATTTCACTCTCTCATCCTGCACTTTACACTAGGGCTGCAACAACGAATCGATTTAATCGATTATAATCAATTATAAAAATTGTTGGCAACTACTTCAGTAATTGCAATGCTGATCACCCTCAAGCCACCCGCTCATCAGGAAAGCCGATCTATAAAATTAAATTTCAGAATATCCAAAGCAAAGCCAGTAAAAACATGGCCAACATTCAATAAAATACACAAAATGTTTTTAATGTGTTTAAAAATGTGTAAATATTTTACAAATAGCACTGTACAAATGTTTTCCAGGTTACATCCAAGAACTGATGGAGGTCCTGTTTAGCCAAGTCTTTAAAGACCCTGCACCATACGTCAAGGAGGTTCCGAAGATCAACGTCCCAGGCTATGTCAGTCATTTCAGTCTAGGGCCTGTCTGAAGCCAACATAACTACCGGCATTATCAGGGAACTCGTCGTGTATGGAAAGGACGACACGAGAGAATAACTTTAAACCTGATGTCCTGGCTGTGCAGTTTGCATCATGTCTCGTGTTGTGTAGAAGGTTTAAACGTGTCTTATAAACTCTAGAGTGAATAAAACAAACACATAGTAAACTGTACTGTACTTGTCCTAATAACTTGTAATCAGTGATGGTGTTTATTGTGAAAGTGTAAAGTGAGTGCAGGTCAGAGGGGGAGTGAGGAGGAAGCAGACTCTGACACAGGATGACTGGACCTATAATGAGCGTCTGTCCTGGTCCTATAGCAGTGGTGGAAAACTGCAAAAACAATGAACATAGCAGAAAACATGAATTGATTATGTTCAGTCACTGCCTGCACAGAGGTGCATCGTGACGTGGACGCCTCTGCATCCATGAGACATAATCGATTCATGTTGTTTTTTGTGATGCCCTGAGTGACTGTAATAGTTTGTTAATAAAATAATTGAGATAATTCCCCTCACAACTCCCTCATGCTATGTCACTTCTGGTCTATCTATGTGTAAACAACATTTT